TTTTACAGAAAAGAAGACTGAGTCCCAGGATCTGAATGACACTGCTAACTAGAGGCAACAGTGGGATTAGGAAAACAGTCTTCCTTCTACTATACTACTTTGCTCTCGTCAGGAAGGGTAGCACTGAAAGATAAATAAGGCTGTGGAAGGCAGACGTGTGCTGGTTACTGAAAGGGGGTTATGTGAACCAAGTGTATCATTAAAGGGAGAAAGGTTGTTGGTGTTTACTGAGCACCTACTGTGTGCCTGGCACTGTCTTAAGGACTTTACTTGTATTACTCATTTAGTTCTCACAACAACCTTGTGAAGTTGCTAATATTATTTCTATTTTATAAACGAGGAAACAGAACCTAGAAGAAATAAACTTCTGCAGCTAAGAAGCAGATCTGGAAGGAACTCAAACACCAGTCTATTTGACCTCCAAGCCCATAGCTTTAATTTTCTTCCTACTACATAGTTAGACCTGATAAATTCCTCTATAAATACCCAAGGAGTGTCAGAGCAGAGGAACTTCAAGTACAATATGCTTTTTAAAAAAATTTTATGTCTTCTAAAAGATATAAACCCACATTTTAAGCTCTGAGTACTGAAAACTGCCATAACACTTCAGCCAGGAATATATTAATGCATAACTCCTTAATGCTTGTCAGAGGATTATGACAATACCCTGTAGTGATTTATTCTTAATTATAATTGTAAATTTCTAGTCTTATACAAAAAATGCTGCCCTTATATTAACAATACTAGAGACTGGGTAAGTTTCTTCAGTGGAATATTGTGCTTTAAATTTTCCCATTAAAAACCTAAATTTTCAAGTGTGTATGGGAACGTCAGAGGCTCGAAAATTTGTAAGGCATTCTCCTTTTCCTACCCTTCAAAAATCTCTTTTTCAAGAAGTATAAGCTACAATGTCAAAATGAGGAAGAAGGATGGCTAACTTCTAAATAAATCTCAGGGAGCAGTGTCGACTGAGGCAGGGAGTGAGGCAGCTGCCAAAAAGCAAGAGTAATGGTTTTTTTTTTTTTTTGGTAAACATACTAATACTAAATCAAATGCTAATTCAAACTAACTTCCTGTGATTTAAAGGAATTTGTCAGAAACCAATGAATCTGAAAGATTTTAATTCATTTTTTTTTTTAGTTGGTCTTATTCTTAAGCTACTAAGATGCATTAATTCTTGACATTTAACCAAGAGACTGCCTGTAAAGGTTTAAGTATAAGTCAAAACCTGGGGGCTCAAATCCAACTCATGGAGGCGTTTTGCTTGGATCATACAGAATTTTACTTTAACGTGAGAGCCAACATTTTTTAAAGATGAAAAAAAAATCACATTTAAAACATCCAGATCTAGAGCTTCTTTAAAAAAAAAAAAAGTAAAAGGGAAGATTTGGCAGTGATGCGCTCACTTTCCCATACGGCCAAAAGTCTGCTGAAGCCGTGTGTCAGCTGCCCTTTTAGAGAGGTGTGGTCACTGGTCCACAATTCCTGGCAGCCCACCTCACTCCTGTACTTACCTATAAACCCCTTCCTCACCCCTGGAGGCATCTGAGTTTGTGACCCCTATTTTATAGGAACTGGACAAGGAGAATGCAGGAATTTAAAAATAAATAAATAAATAAATAGAAGACAAAGCCCACATCACTTAGTCACTGTACTAGACAGCAAAAACAAACAAACATACAAAAACAAAAAACCGCAGTGCTTCTCAATACAGTATGTCACAGTATCTTGGGACACTTGATATCAACTAGCTCATGATGGAGGGAACTTTTAAAGTGGTGTAAATCCTTCAGCATAAATGTTCAAATGCAGCACTTTTAGTATTCTGGCCCAAGATTAAATTCTAGGTGAATATTTCAAAAGAATTCTCTTATCTGATGTCAATTAAAAAATAGCTCCTCAAATTTTTCTACCACTTCTAATATTTATGCTGAGTTTCTCCAAGAGAAAAACAGGACACAGCTTTCTTGGTTTGTCTAACACCTCAGCACAATCTTTCCAATAATTAGACTCTTCTCTTTGTCTGTCAGTAACTATGGCTCATCTCACACTCAAAAGCCAAAACAAAATGCTTGACCAGGATCAGAACTATGGTCAGGATGCATGAAGTAATGAAATACGGTCTCCGACTGGCCCAACTTCTTCTCTACCAAGTTAGCTCTCAACAGCTTCTGATTTTTGCCCACCTGGTGGCGAGACAGCAAATTCAAGGTTTTTTTGGTTTTTTTTTTTGCGGTACGCGGGCCTCTCACTGTTGTGGCCTCTCCCAATGCGGAGCACAGGCTCCGGACGCACAGGCTCAGCGGCCATGGCTCACGGGCCCAGCCGCTCCGCGGCATGTGGGATCTTCCCAGACCGGGGCATGAACCCGTGTCCCCTGCATCGGCAGGCGGACTCCCAACCACCGCGCCACCAGGGAAGCCCCAAATTCAAGGTTTTATTTCAACTAGCACCTTTGTTAAAAAGGGCGATTTCCTAAGCACCTTAGGAAATAACTTTCTGGCCCCCTCCCTAGTCCCCTGCTCCTTCAAGTTCAACTCACCTTTTTCCCTAATATATGATGGCCCTTTTTCTGGTGAGCCAGTTATCTTGTATTTTACAAAGAATGGGAAGCAAAGAAAACTGCCAAGGACTCTGCCCAAGGTCACAGAAAAAAAAGGCAAAATAAGGACTTGGACTTCCTTAAGACTTAGCCCAGGGTTTGGGATTCAGGAAACAGTGACCTTTGAACATCATTTCTGGTGTGCCAAAATTATTTGTAGCAGAATATTTAAGGGTATAAATTTAAAAGGAGGAAGTGAGGGAAGCCAAGATGTACGTGTTCCACAGGGAAAGAAAACAAAGTCCTCAGGTTTCTAAGGAGGGAGATGGAGAGAAGTGAGTTGAATGTGGGCCAGTGGGCACGTGGGAGAGGGAGAAAAGGGGAAGGAGGCATGCAGTGGGCAGGAGGAAGGGAGCTGAGAATAAGCACGCACAACGAGGACAGGAGGGGACCTGCACCGAGTGGGTGGGCGGACAGATCAAGGAAGCCATCCATGTGTACAGAGAAGACTCAGACAAGTGCGTGTCCAGAAGGCGTTTCCTAATGAGAAGCCAGACAGACACCATATCCCCAGTCAAGGAAACAGAGAAACAAGAAGATCCATAAAACACAGGAGAAAATGTGCACAGTTATGTTACTTCTTCCCTCACATGAGAGGGGGCTCACATGCCCGTGAGAAGCCTGTATGTGGCTGAGAAGCAGCCCAGCACAGGCGTTAAGGGCACGGACTCTGGAACCAGACTAGCCCAGCTGCCTGGGTTTGAATCCAAATCCTACTGCCCACTAGTTGGCTGACCTTGAATAACTTACTTAACCTCTCTGTGACTGTTTTCTCTTCTGTAAAATGATAACGTTAAAGAACTAAGTGAATTAAATAAAGCACTGAGAAGAGTGTCTGGCACATAACAAGTGCTACATAAGTTAAATAAAATAAATAACACGTACAAAAAGGAATGCATAAAGGAGGAGACTCACGTGCTCAAACTCTGAGACAGTTACAGTATAAAAACCACAGCATATTCTCCTAGCTACATATTCATATCCTTGTAGAAAGAATGTCACAAAAGCCAAGACATTCTAAAGTTTAGTTAAGTAGATGGCAAACAAATCACAGACCTAGAGGGAAAGAGAACCCAGTGGCGAGGTAGCTGGAGAAGAGTGGACTTGGGTAGGAGTGTAAGGAACACACGTGACCTAAGAAGTCACAGACGGGCTTTTACTCCAGACTCTGGACGCCAGGCCTGGATGGCTGGGGCTGCGGTGCCGGGAGGTGAGGGCAGCAGTTGGCAGGGCTGGACCAACTGCAGTATGTTAGGGCTGACTCGTGTCCTCTGCTGCCGATCAAATATGAGAGTGGAAGTAGAATCAAGCTGCCTCCCGCCTCCTCTACTGCATTTCTACTTACTTCACCTCATCATCTACAGCCTTAGCCCAGGCCTTTGTTCTCTCGCCTTGGTTTCTGAATCAGCTCTGCCGCTGGGCTTCCCGCCCCCATCTCTGCACCCCCATCCATCCTCTCTTATGCTTCCAGGGTTACTTCCCCTAAAAAAATATGCGATCACGTCATTCACCGCCTTGTCAACCTCCCCTGATGGGCTTCCTGCTCTCAATAATAAAAAGTTCCATCTTGACACAGCAGACGCTTCATTATCTTGCTCCAATGTCCCTGTCTGGTTTCGCCTTTCACCTCTTTACTCAGCTAATTCTAACCCACCGTGAACTTCTCACTGTTCCCTAATATACTATATCCTACGGTGCTGTGCCTGGACCCCACTTTACGACCCTTTCTATCAGGAAAAGTCCTTTCCTTCCTCTGAGACCCACCTTAATTGTCATCTCCTAAGGAATGTCCTCCTCAGTTCCCTAAGCAGAGAAAGTTCTTCATTTTCTGAGTGCCTACAGCATTGTGACCAGGCATCTCTTATAACACATGCCACCCAAGACTGTAATTTAGCTGTTTAATTGTCCGATTTCCCATTAACCCCTCAGCACCTCATAGAGACAGCCAACTGTTTTACTTATTTTTAAAAACTCCCAGGGCATCCCTGGTGGCGCAGTGGTTGAGAGTCCGCCTGCCGATGCAGGGGACACGGGTTCGTGCCCCGGTCCGGGAAGATCCCACATGCCGCGGAGCGGCTGGGCCCGTGAGCCATGGCCGCTGAGCCTGTGCGTCCGGAGCCTGTGCTCCACAACGGGAGAGGCCACAACAGTGAGAGGCCCGAGTACTGCAAAAAAAAACCCCAAAAACCTCCCAGACCTAGCATACTACCTTGCATATGGTATGGTTGCCTGTCAAATATGACGGTTGAATCAAACACAACCCTTCCATAACACAGGGAAAGGGGAATCTTAATTCTAACAGTATAAACGTTTGAGCAGAAAATACGGTTAACATTTGAGACTGTTCTGCAAAGCCCCCAGCTCTACTGCCATGGTGGGTAGACGGCCTGCTGCTTACCGCTGAATATCCTTGTTCTTCCACAAGGAGGCAGACTGAGCCTTGGGCACGCGTTCAATGAAGTTCACCAACTCTTCCATGAGAAGCCTGAGTTTAAACAAAGAAAGTGATGAACACTCAAAAAGGAATCAGAAAAACATGGCACTCTTAACACTGTAGCCAAGAGAAGCGGGCTTGCCTGCCTGCCCTCCCCAGTCGTCTTTCCTCTCTCTGCTGCACATAAACGTGGGCACCATTTTACATAAAGTTGAACAAAAACCTACCCTTTGCGTTGAATTTTCACGTTAAAAATTCTGAATGTAAATGATTTAATTCATAAGCCTGGTGTGCTTCTTGTCTCTAAACAATGAAATATATAAGCCTATGGTTTAACTCACACTCTTAAGACCTCTGCCTTTATTTATTTAGGTAATTAAAAACACAAAAGGACAAATAGTTAAATGAGCATGAAGTACCTGATTTTGGTGGCAGCAGAGGTGGGGGTAGGATTTTTTTTAATGACAATATTAAATGGACATTTTAAACTGGTAAAATAAGTTTGCTTCATATACATTTTAGGAATTAACAAAATTCCACATGGAAGAATACTCGAAGGCCTAATCCTAAAACTCTAACTCAAGGACCTGCCAGAGGACAGGCTCTGCAGATCACAAGCTGGATCACCACAGAATCACAACTCAGGGAATCTAAGAGATGCCTCACTCAACTGGATCGATGATCCCATGCTCTGAGGAATACATGGGAACAGAGCACTGATGGGGCCCTGGATGGCTAGGGGACGACCAAAAAGCTAGAAATAGACTTTCAACATCTTGAATCCCCTACATAATCCAGTACAGATGTTCCACATTGACTTAAATCCTCTCCCAATAAACACACAGACATGGCAAGCCATAAATTTATTAGCATTTGAATGCCGAACACCTTCATTTCCACTTATTTACTTATTCCTAACACTATCATCGTCTTTCATTTTTTTTTTTTTAAATTGTCTTTCATCTTGAAGGAGCAGTACCAGTTCCAGCACTCTAAGATCCGGGATCCAGGCTCATTATTGTTCTGGCTGTAACTTTCTGGAGAACTGTCTGGTATGTCCATCCTCAGGCTTTAACTTTTTCAGACTAGAATCTAATGTTTTCAGCTTGTCCTCTCACCAAAACTGTTAAATCACCTTGAGTGCTTTACTTTCCTACAATGTCTCTTCCTCAGATCCTTTATGTTTTTCTGTACACACCGCAGGTAATATGGTTTGACACAAAAACAAGGACATATTTTGTTTCATTTCTGGTAATTCCATCGTATTGGACTTCAGTCAGATTCTAGAACCCAAAGCACTTAGATCCCATATTTCGGGTCTTGATAGTATTACCTTATACCATACTTCTTTGTTTGCTTCAACACAATTCTTTTCTTCTGGGGTAATTTTCTTCTCACTAAATGATGCTATGGTTACTTGAAACAACCATCTGTCCCATGGAGGCTTGGGAGGGGCAGGGGAAGAGACAGCACAGCGTTCTCAGAGTCAAAGAAAGGCTCTGAGGTTTTTATTCCATACAGTCCCGAGTTTCACTATGTCAACAGTACAGACAACGTAACCATCTAATTACCCTGTTTTCTACAAGCCGTCCCCATTTATAGTCTGCACTAAACCATGAGAGGGGGGAAATTTTGAAAGCAAAGTAGTAAAATTTCTTCCTCTTTTCTTAAATATGCTGTGTTCCTTTCTCTCCCGAAGCTCTCTGCACTGCATCCTGGTGGCATCCTACTGAATGATACTTCCCCTAATTAGTATCATCTGCACAGAGGAGCTGTCTCTGCAAACTCCCTGTTCCCGTTTTTCTAAAAAAGACTAACGACCATTACGCGCAGCATCAGTCTCTAGGCAACTCCAAAGAACATTTGTTTTATCTGGAGAGTTGTCTATTCGTGCCTGTTCTCTGGGTCAGCTGCTCAGAGGGAAATAACAATCCCACCTCGCACAACACTCTATTAACGGTCACCACTGAAGGGAGGAGCTCGCCAGCCACTCTCTAATGGCACAAGAAGAAATGCTCTCACCTGCCGATCTGAACGGAGGGCTCTGTAGCATACACCGTGCCTGTGAACCCCGTGTGCTCAGTGATGTAGGGCAGAGCCATCATGCAGTGATAGTTAGAGATGAGGATCACATCTACCGTAGACAGATCTATTAGCTCGGTCTGAAAAGAAAGGGGAGGGAATGATAGATATCTGTGCGGGGCACATAGATCAACGTGATGGGACTGAAAAATGATGTTGCCAGAATGCAGAGGAGTGGCTTTGGTACTACAGAATAATGATGCCTTTCCTGCAACACTTCTACTCTCTCCTTTTAGGATATTTCCTAATGTTGACATTACGCGGCAGGACAGGATGGCTACTGATGAGAGTGCAGCCCGTCCGCCAGAGGTGCTCTGATTTTACTAAAACAGAGTTCTCCGAGTCAGACGTGTGAGGATGAACGACAACAGGACACTTCAGCAGCTGCTGCCTGGCAGGGGGAACCACGTAACACGAAGCAGACAGCACAGTATCAGCCGTGAGGGAGAGGCACACAGAAACCAGCTCTTCAGAAGTCAAATGTGGGAGGCAACTGTTTTTGGAGTAACTTCTGACCACTAGTGTTGGGTATAGAGCCCCCCGCAAACGTAGTGGCAGAGTCATAAGAGGAGGTTATACTCTTGTGTTCTACCCTAATCACAACCCCCGCTCTACCCTTCACTCCATTATTAAGGTCATGTGAAAAGGGAAAAGACAGGTTGGCAGGTGAGAAAAAAATGCTACCCATGTTTGGTAAATTTTTATGAAAACTCTTTTAGTAGAACGGAACTTTTTTTCCATAAATTTAAGTCCTACCTGCCTTTTAAGGCTCAATTCTCTTCTCCCACTAAGCCTTCCTTATTTGCCCAGACGAAAGAAACCACTTCTTCCTCTGAACTGTCAAGGCACTTTATGAATATCCCTCTCGTGGCAGTTATTATTCTGTACAAAGGCAGGCAGCTCAAAGTTATCATTTTGTCCCCCCAAAACTGAATGTCTCTGAGCCCAAGAATCCCGTGTGACTCAGCTCTGTCCCCTCCCCGCTGTGGTAGCCAGGACATAACAGGCCTTGGCGCACTGTTGTTGGAGGACTGCATCGTTATAAGCACCACCCTCTGTGGAGAAAAGTGAGATGCAGCGGTTCAGAGACATCATCTTAGTCTCTGAGCTCTCCCTCACGGAACTTACCCCGTGGAAACTGTATGGTACAGTACGGACAGCACGGGGTAACTCAAGAGAGAGTTTTAGTTAGCAGAACGGGTCACAGAGCTACTATGTCCCCCACGGAGTAGAAGTAACAAAGATGTCTGTGCCCTCTTTGCAAATAACAGAGACAGTGTGCCATTTTGGCTGTGGGTATCTTCTGGTTGGTGACTTTATGTGTAAAGTAAGTTGATTTAATAAAGCCAAGGCATAATCAGCTCCTGAGGACAGCGTGGAGATTAGAGGTCAGAAGCTGCTCACCACCGGGGCAATGGCAATCTGTGTGAATAAAATGTCTAAGGACATAACTTAACTCCATGCTGTGTACTGCACTTCCAAGACAATATCCTCACATAACAAAGGGTCATGGGACATCCTGCTGCTCCTATTCCCCACCAACTCTCTAGAAGCATTTTTAAACAAATGAGAAGATTAAGACATAGTAGCAGAGTGATACATCCAGAAGAAAACAAGGGAAGAAGAGTTGAAGCAACAGTAAAACCCAAAAGCATCCCTACCTTCCTTCTACCTATACAGAAACTGGGTAGGAATATTAGAAATTTCTCTTTACTATTTAAGAAACAACCCATAGAGTCTAGAATGGTAAGAAATTTGGTGAGGACAGCTGGGGAGAAAAAAAAAAATATATATATATATATGTATTTTCTGCTTGTATATATATCAAGAGTGCCTACATAAAAAATTTTCCCCTGAGAAATAAATTTAACACCCAAACTATGTTTATATATTCACATCTATATGTTTACTTGCATACTTTCACTCAGTGAAATCCCATAAAGACTATTTTAATTTTAAACTTTTATATACAGACACTTGGGTTCTACAGACCATGAATTGGGTCAAAACAATCATAATTTATTGGTTGCTTACTATACTGTCCTAGACTTTATGCACAGTCTACAGTGTAGACTTTGGGGGAATACAAAGATATTTAAGGTAGCTGCACTAGATTATAAATTCCATGAGGACTGGGACTTCAGTTCTGCCTGGCTCAGCCACAAGTCAGCCAAGATTGGACAGCGTAGTAAGTCCCTCTCTCCTAATTCAACAACTCTCATATTTTCTCCTGATCATACAATGCCCTGGTTTCCCTTAAAATAGTGACTACTAATAACTTGTCATAAACCACAAATTATGACACTAGTTGAAAAAACCTATATGGCTTTAGAACCCTAAATATAACAGTGCTGCTTTAGCTTGGCAAAGGTGAACTGTGAAACGGTGACTGTTTCATTTCAAAGCTTAGTAGTTGATGGAGCAAGTCAGAAAGTCACCAGAGCTCCAAGCCAGGTATCCTCCACTGAGGGCCACAAGCTGAAGGCTGCAGCAGTCAGTGCCACAGGCAGTAAACTGACAATAAATGTAGCACCTACGATTAGGAATCTTTGAACAGATGGGGAACTGCCCCACCAACTCCTAAATGACAAATGAAGATCACGAAAAAGATTTTATTAGCAGTTAGGGAGAGCTCAGGATTTTCAATAACTGTCTACCTTCACACTTGTTCCTACTAGTTTACCTCAAACTCTCCCTTATTTGCCAATTTCAATTACCACGTCCTTCTTTGTTTTTCTTCCTCTCTTTCACTCTGGTGTCCTAAAAGGGCACATCACCTACTTCAAAAAGAGAAAAAAAAAAAGTTTATCTAAAGGATATCAAAGGAAGTTGTAGAAATGGAAGGAGAGAGAGGAAGAAAGGACAAAAATAAGGGACACAGCACTCCCAATTTCTTTTTTCTCTGGCACTGAAATGTGAAAGTATTTTCGACAGGCACTGACATCCCCTGGGCACACGGAAAGAATAGAATGGTAGCTTCTTATTGATTTCCTCAGGAACCCTGGACTGGCTACTGGCTTCCCTATACTTCATCTGTGAGCTAAGAACTCCATCTAGGCCACTCTGGGGATTAGGCCTGTCAGCTGAGATTAGTTTCCTTTAAGACTAATGCAAACTGATCTTTGTTTCCTTTAAAACAATGAAACTGGACTCAAACACTTATAACAAGTCTCACTGTGATGATAATACGTAAGCGACAGATATCCATGACTCAGTTCAGAATCCATGAATTTCAAGCAATATTCCATATGTCATTTCAAGTCAGCAAGAATTTTTACAGTTTACTATACTGGCTAGATAACAGCAACTCCCAATTACCCAAGACTAGAAAATGTATGGCTAACCTAAGACACAGGCATTATCCAGTCGGCCTTCTGTATCTGTGGCTGTGAAACCTCTATTCATTGCACTCCATCATTTTATATAAAGTGCTTGAGTATCCGTGGATTTTGGTATCCACAGGAACCAATCCCCTGCAGATACCGAGGGATGACTGTAATTACAAAATTAAAAGGCTTGAGATATTTCTTTACCTTGCTCAAAACTATGCTCCAGTGTGACTGTCAATGTGGATTATAGAAAAAGCTAGGGACGGGAAGAAGAGAGTGACTTCAGTGATTTACAGACAATATAAAAAGCTCCTAAATGATATTTTAGCTGTAAAACAAAGTGCCTAGAATAACAGATCCATTTCAATTTGAAAACAGGAAGCTAAGCCCCTGAAAATTATTTCCTGATTTCAGTTTGAGAGATGATAAGAAATGCTTTGTTTCTACAACAAGATTCACTTTAATCTTACCTCTGGTAGGCAGAATTCGGGCACAGAATCCACAAATACATGACCTGAGCACTCCTTTAGCTCCTAAAAGACATGAAAAGAAAAAATTCTAGGAAGTAATATCCAATAGATACAGCGCCAAAGAAATTTCATCCCCAAACCAAACTTTCCATGAAATATCACAGATTGCTGGAGTTGGAGGGAAGCTGGAAGCTTATTTAGGCCAACTGTTCATTGTTTAAGCTCAGGGAGGCTAAATGTTTTATTTAGGATTAAAAAAATGCTGGCTGGTGGCTGACTCAGGACTTGAATGCACATTTCTTGATGCCTCTTCAAGGAAGCCATGTGTGGACACATGCTGCTTCCATAACTCATGACCCAAAGCTTTCCAAATAATTGTTAGATGGACCATACCAGCAATACCAGAATGATCTGGAACACTGATGGAAGTAGATTCCTGGGCCCTACCTAAGATCTAAGGGATGAGAAACTAAGGATGAGGCCATGGAATCTGTGTTTATAACAAGCACCTCCAGCGATTTTGTTCTGCAATTAGGTTAGGAGTCCAGGGCATAGACAAATGATTTAGAGCCCCTTTCTCCTCCTACCAAGGTTTGAGGGGCAAATAAGGAGGGAGATGAAGAGTACAGGGTAGGGATTAAACCACCACCACCACCATTCAAAAGAAAAAAGTGTACTTATAAAGAGAGAGAATTTAGTGCAGCTCCCACTCTGCCCGTGACCTACAGTATTTAATGTGCCTGTCTTACTTTGGATTCGTTCACAAACAGATCCTGAGAAAGGGTGTGTGAAAGCTTATAAGGGAGGTGCTAAAAACAAACAAACAAACGAACAACAAAAAACCCAGCAGGAGGAAGGGCAAGTGATAAATAAAGGGAAAAGCAGGTGACCAATAACGAATATGTTACAGAGCTACATACCACTGTGGGCAACAGGGAGTCACTCCCATGGGGAAACTCTAAGAAATAGTATCAAACATATACCTGGGAGTTATTCCACTCAGGGGCAAGGGACCTGGGATATTTATATAGCAACTCGTGCATTTGGGGCAGCTTTAGGAAAAAACTGTCAGGCAAAGCCATACAGGTATTGGCAGCTGCATTTATGACATAGGACACTGAAGAGACAGGAGTGGGCCACCAACAGAGTCTGCTACAATGCCCCCAGGAGGCCACCAGAGTTGCTGCCTTCCCTTGATGACACTTTATACTGAACTCTATGCAGGAATTTTTGCTCCAAAGTTAAAGCTATCTATCACTCTATAATGAAACCACTAAAAGATAGATTTTGGTTGACAGTTTCCTCTTTCTGGAAAGAGAAAAATACTGTTAGAACTTTGTTCCATTGTGTTTTCATTTGTCACCAAACATAAATTTCTATATATTCATATATATGTACCTATATTTATATACTGGAGTCTCAATGATTTTACTCTCAATCTTTACCTGAAAATAAGGTATTAACTGTATGTTATTTTCCTTTTGAATTTTACAAGTCTCCTATCAGAACCTTGATAGAATACTTCCTCCCCTTGCCTTCCACTGTAAACTCTGGTTCCTCTCCTTATATGAGTACCATTTAACCAGTAGAGCGCTGAGCCAAAAAGAGACTGAAAACCATTCTTTTTTTTTCTTTCCTTTTCCTTTTCTCTGCAGTACGCGGGCCTCTCACTGTTGTGGTCTCTCCCGTTGCGGAGCACAGGCTCCGGACGCGCAGGCTCAGCGGCCATGGCTCAGGGGCCCAGCCGCTCCGCGGCATGTGGGATCCTCCCGGACCGGGGCACGAACCCGTGTCCCCTGCATCGGCAGGCGGACTCTCAACCACTATGCCACCAGGGAAGCCCTGAAAACCATTCTTAATTACAATGTACCTGCCAGCTAAAAACAAATGAGCAATTATGTTTAATGGAAGAAGACTCCCAGCTCCCTTAGGATGAGGTAAAAAATGATTAAAGACAAATCATGGGAAATTTATAAGCGCTGCCTGGCCTTAAATTGACTATGTAATCTTCTTCGCCATATTGCCATGTACCAGGGTATGTGTACCTCACATGACAGAGCCTCCTCTGAGGCTCCCATCCTTCCTGGCCTGGAGCAGCATATTTGCCATTCCACGCACTTACAATGTTACTCTATTTTATTCACCACTCCCTCCTAATGAAATGCTCCCACACAGACATGCAAGTCATTTTGCTCACAATGCACAGGTAATGGGATGCTTCTGAGCCTTTCTCAGGGAACAATGATTTACAGCCAGCAGAGAGTTAGGCTGAAATTTCATCAAGTGCACAGATTCTTGATTGTCACATAATTTTTACAGTTAGCTATGAGGGAAATCTGGTTTCAAATCATGCATTTGGCTTGCACTCGAGGTTGGGGTGTAGGTACAGGAGTTAATTCTGTAAAAAGAGCACCTCTTTATTTAACAATACCAATTACAAGAAGGAAATGCCTTATTCAATTCAGATGAATCATTTTAAGGATCCTTACACTTATTCAGTCTTTCAATTCTGAAACTGGGGAGAGGAAGAATGATTTGGAGGCCTAAGAATGGCATGGATAAGCTTGACAGTTTTTAATCTTCCTTTACCCTCTGATTTTTTTTCAGGAGAAAATTTGACTAGATTATAGTTTTAACATTTTTTTTGTATCTCTGGTCTCTCACGTATATGTTAAATGCCTAAAAACTGATCTGAGGAAGGAATTATTGTGAAGATAATCTAATGTTAAAAATTTAATAGCCTTGAAAAAAAAAGTAATTTGAGTCATTTACTTTAGGCCTAGTTAGTGATTAAAGTCATAATAGGACCCCAAATCCTAGATTCCTCAGAACTATGTTGTTTTCTCACAACCTATAGGAGTGTCCACTCCAGGATACCAGGATCACAGATCATAGTCTGGAAGGCCCTTTGTTCATATTTACCTGAAAACATGCTTCCCTCCCACTCCCCCAAGAGCACACTGCCCGGCAGTTAAACACTCAGCTCCTCAGTCTGTTCTCCACATGGCAGCCAAAGCGGTCTGAGCAGAGGAAGACACTGCCCGCTGCAACCTTTGGTGGCCTCTTATCACCCAAAGAATAAGACTCAGACTTTTTACAAAGCCCTAGCTGATTTGACCCCTGACAGAGCAGTTTAAAACTCACAATGTCTGGGGGGATTTTAAAGTTATTAAAAAAAAAAAAAAAGTTCACTCCTTACAGGTGGAGAGTCAGTACAGCCTCAAAATGAAATGAGCTAGGGACTTCCCTGGTGGTCCAGTGGTTGGGACTTCACCTTCTGATGGGGGGCGGTGCGGTTTGGTCCCTGGTCAGGGAGCTGGGATCCCGCATGCCTCGGGGCCAAAAAACCAAGAAAAGGCAGTATTGTAACAAATTCAATAGAGACTTTGGGGATGGTCCACATCAAAAGAAAATCTTTAAAAAAAAAAAAAAAGAAGAAACGAGCTAGATGGAATTCTCTAATAAGCATCACCACTGAAACTCTCATTGCAATTCTAAAAATAATAGTTTTCTTTTTGTGGTGGTAAAATGTATTTGCAGCAGAAGTTCTTAGATTTTACACATGAGAAAACTGGATCTGTAGCTGAACACTGAGACTCCTTAAAAGGCTCTTAAAAACAATAATTACCAAGTACTGAAGACTTTACATGGGATTTTTCAGGGAGAAGACACAGGGGAAATAATGAGCCCATCAGTCACATTATTATCGGGTGGCTCCGGTATGACAAGATGGCTTTCCAGTGGGTGTAGATACACTTCAGCTAATCATTACCTTGTCCAAGAAAGCATTTCCATCCTTTAGGGACCAGCCAGGAAGATTAGACAGCCTGGGACTGCAAAACAAAAGATTAAATTATCCTAAATAGATTATAATCCTCAGTGATTTCACGGTGACTGTACTGGCTCCATAAAGTGAAAAACAGTTTGAAATTACTGGCAGCAATGCCTACCCAAAATACTAATCAAAAAGACGAAAAATAACCATGTGGTATCAAGCTTAAGAATTAGTGGCAGTGGAACATTAAAAAGCCAAATAGTTTTGCACTAAATTGGGAAAATTAAAAGAATGCTATGCAGAATAATAAAGAGAAAAAAGAATGATAAGACACTAGAGCATTGTACAGTTTTCCCATCACTGGCCCCGACTTCACCTTGCTTGTGTTTGACAACAAGCCTGAGGGGAAGGCCGAATGGGACCATTATATTGTGGATGACAAAACAGACTCAGAGGGGTCAGGTGTCTGACAAGAGCACTTAAGCTGCCTACCAGCCAGAATTCACCACAAATAAAAACCTGAATTCTGCTTGAGTCCACCTTCTGGATTCATTGCTTATAAATGAATTAGTCAACTTGTTACCTGCGGCTTGAGTTTCCAGTTCTGGAAAATGAAGCTAGTTTTCCTAAGCGTTATGAAATACATACCTAAGTGAGTAATTTCTAGAAGGTGAGGTTAATTTCACATATACATTACATTAAAGAAGTCTGAATCAGAAATCATTCACTCTGGTAAGCTCAGGATTTAACTGTGTGCTATTGGTTGACCAATACTGGAGGTTGAAAATGCAAACAACTCAGGAGAAAAAAAAATGCTGGTAAAAAGAAAAACTTAACGATCAAGGTGATATATGAAGAAAAGCACACAGAAGTACAAGTTGGATGGCAGAAGGATTTAGCACTTCAACACAAAATTAGTCTGTGAAGTAAAAATTAAAGGCAAAGTATGGGCGTGGGACTAAAAGACTCTATAATCAGAAACCAAGTTAACGTATAGTACTGGATCCTCTCTCTAAAATAAGTTTATCAAATTCTGACTTTGTAATTAGGTGGTAGGTACGAAAGTCAAATTGAAACATAGATATGTGAATATTTGTCAATCTTCTAGGAAAGATTAAAAACCTGAATAAAATATACATGCATCTAATTTTAGAAAAAAAGTGAGAATTTAAGGGGTAACTTTTAATTTTGACATAATTACTAGCTCATAGAAAAGCTGTAAGAATGTAAGTACAATGATGTCCCGCATACCCCTTGCCTAGATTCTCTGTTTACATTTTCCCTTTATTAATCAAAAAGTGAGAATTTTTGGATTTCATTCTTGAGAATGAGAATCAAGTTTGGTTGGCATAAATTACACCTGAAAAACTTTTTTTAAAACTCTGGGAGCTTTCCCAGAAAAAAACTCTATTACCATTAGCTGTTTAATTCCCATCTCATTTCAGTCACATATATACCTTCACTTACAGACTTCTTACTTCTTAAAAAATATTATTTACTACCAGATCAGATTAAATAACCAAGCATTCTAATAAAAGTGTAATGACAAGACAATCCGAATACTGTTCTCATTTCATGCACACTAACTCTCTAAAAGAAGTTGTAAATATCCACTTCCCTTTACAAAGAGAACTGGATCAAAGGACATGCATCCTGTCTGTTCTCCATCAGATACACACAAGTCAACCTCCAAATTACAGATGACTGATTCAATTAGTTTTGTCCTCATCAAGTGATTAGAAATGGTACACTGCTTATGGGACTTCCCTGGTGGTCCAGTGGTTAAGACTCTGCACTCCCAATGTAGGGGGCCCAGGTTTGATCCCTGGTCAGGGAACTAGATCCCGCATGCTGCAACTAACAGCCTGCATGCTAAAACTGAAAAAAAAAGATCCCGCGTGCCACAACTAAGACCTGGTGCAGCAAAATTAAAAAACAAAAGAAGAAATGGTACACTGCTTATAAAAAAAATTTTTTTTAAGTAAAAATTTCAGGTATTGTGGTTTTAACTCTTGCTAAACATTTTTTTATAACGTCAAAGCCTTCTATGAAGTATCTGTAGTTATTCTGGATTTAAGAAATTGCTAGTAGATGGTACTGAATGCTCAAAGGAGAGCAAGACCATGTTATAACAACAGTGCCAATGATAAAGGGGCACACAAATGCGTCATCAGATGGCAAATGGATGCTGACTACAGAGATGAAAGTATTTTGTTACTGGGGACCAACAAGTTAATGACTAAACCATGAAGAGTTAGCAAACTTTAAGCTACCAAAGAGGAAGAGATTTATTACTTTGTTCCTAATGATTACAAAATCTGAGAGGGAACAGGAGTTACGAGGTGAAGACAGAGGGCGATTTTCCAGAAAGAGGGACAGGAAACAACCTCATCATTTGGTGAAGTACTGAAGGAGGATAAGGTATTCATCTTCACTCATTCATTAATGAATCTTGATTTATGTGTCGAGCACTCAGCTGCTGGTGATACGACCATGAGCAAAACGCGCCTGTCCTCCTGAGGGGTTAGGGAAGACAGACAGATCAAGTAATCACACAGAGAACAAGCTGTTATGAATGATGAGGCAGCACACAGCGCACAAGGCACCACAAAGTCTCCTAACAAGGGACTCATCTAGGCAGCATCAAGGCAGCAGTTCTTCTTGAGTCTCTGAAGAACGAGCTGACATCTGGATGGTAGCAGAGTCAAGGGGAAACTGTGTCAAGGGGCAAGATCTGGAGGGAATAAAGAAAGAAGACAGCTGCAAGGCCCAGGACTTTCCTCCAACCATTCTCACCAGGCTTTGGCATGGATATCTTAAAAAAAAAAAAGGTTATCCAAATGAAATTTCAAGGAGGGTCCTATATATACCCTCCCCCTCAACCAACTAAAATGCCTTCTCTCTGTCCTTCCCATATAGAAACTGGAGTCATAAATGATCTGAGAGAGGAGCTCCTGCTAAATAGGCTAAGGGAAGGTGGGTTCAGGGAGGGGTGAAGAGCCTTCCTGGCTGAAGAACAATCTGTGTGACTGCTCCCAGGCAGGAGATAAGACTTCTTTGAAACTGAAAGAAAAGAAAAGAGCAAGATACTAGAAGAGAGGCATAAAGCCTAATGTACCAAGACTGACTTGGTATTTATCCTAACAGCAATGGAAGGGACTTCCCTGGTGGCACAGTGGTTAAGAATCTGCCTGCCAATGCAGGGAACACGGGTTTGAGCCCTGGTCTGGGAAGATCCCATATGCCGCGGAGCAACTAAGCCTGTGTGCCACAACTACTGAGCCCGCATGCCACAACTACTGAAGCCCACCCGCCTAGAGCCCGTGCTCTGCAACAAGAGAAGCCACTGCAATGAGAAGCCTGCGCACCGCAAAGAAGAGTAGCCCCTGCTCGCCGCAACTAGAGAAAGCCCGCACACAGCAACGAAGACCCAACGCAGCCAAAAATAATAAATAAATAAATTTAAAAGCAATGGAAAAACCACTGAAAGGTCTTAAACAGGTGAAAGACGAGATTAGATCTGTATTTCTAAAAGGTGATTTTGGAGAAAATTGACATCAAGTGCCTTCTGATAAGACGTACCATCATTTGTGTGGTATTCCTGCCGAAAATAGTAACCCCAACCTAATTATGAGGAAACGTGAGACAAACCCATATTGAAAGATGTTATATAAAATAACTGGCCTGCACTCCTAAAAATGGCAAGGTCGTGAAAGACATAGAGACTAAAACTCTTCCAGATTAAAGGAGATTAAAGACATGACCAAATGCAATGTGTGATCTGGACTGGATCCTAGACCAGTAAGTTATTTTCCTTTTTTGCTATAAAAGGCATTACAGTGAAATATGAACTGGTATAACTTGGGAAATGTAAATAAGGTACACAGCTCAGATACTTGTATAGTATCGACGTTAAGTTAACTGATTATCTTTATTGTACTGTGGTTATGTAAGAGAATGTCCTTCTTCTTATAAGACAGGCACGTAAGTATTTAGGTGGCAAAGGAGCACAGTGTCTATCTTTCAAATGGGTCAGAAAAAACTACATGCATATGTAACATAAAGAGGCAGTGATAAAGCAAATGTGATAAAATGTTAGTAACTGGTAAGAGTAACTGGGAATTGTAACTATTCTTGCAACTTTTCTGTAAATCTGAAGCAATTTCAAAATAAAAAGTTACACAAAAAGAAGACTGGATTCAGACAGGGGCAAGAACAGAATTGAAGAAACTGGTTAGGAAGCTTTACCAGTAATGCCTGTAAAAGAGGATGATGACTACCACAGTAGCACTTAAGAGAAGTAACTGGATTCTAGAGCTATCTAGAAGGTAAAAATGACAATGCTTAATGAAAGGTTGGATGTGGGAAGCGAGGAAGGGGGCATCTAACTGAACTCCCAGCTCTCTGGCTTTTATAACAGGGTGCCATTCCCTAAGATAGGGCAGCATGGGGGGAAACCAGGTCTGGGAGGGTGTACTCTCCTCTTCTGGACCAAGTCTAATCATAAACTCAGTTTGGGGTATGGTGAGTTCTGAAGTGCTTTCAAAGGCACATCCGAGGAGAGAAACCGAGTAGGCATTTTGGATTTATGATTATGAATGTGGAACTCACATGTGGAACTTAACGAAAAATACACATTTGTAAGTTATTGTCTGGATGGTTATCGAGGCCCTGAGCATTTATCTTTTATTTTATTTTTTAAAATTTATTTATTTTTGGCTGTGTTGGGTCTTTGCTGCTGCACGTGGGCTTTCCCTACTTGTGGCGAGCGGGGGCTACTCTTCGTTGTGGTGTGCATGCTTCTCATTGCGGTGGCCTCTCTTGTTGCGGAGCACGGGCTCTAGGCACGAGGGCTTCAGTAGTTGTGGCACACGGGCTTAGTTGCCCCACAGCACGTGGGATCTTCCCGGACCAGGGCTTGAACCCGTGTCCCTGCCTTGGCAGGCGGATTCTTAACCAATGCGCCACCAGGGAAGTCCCTCTGAACATTTATTAAATTCCCTTGGTAGAGCCTCTGTGGCCAAGCACTGAATACTAAAGAATTCTCATGTGTGATGACCAGTTAGAGGAAAATGAATCTCCAACGTAGACAGAAGAGAAAGATTCAGAGAAGTAACAAAAACCAGGACTGTATTATCATGGAGGAGAGTGATGCTGAGTGGCTAAGGAGGGTGAGGATGACAAATGCGTATTATAGCTACATGACGTGGAAGTCATTCGTGATTTACTGAAAGATGTTCTGGTGGTTGGTGTGGGCAAAGCAGACTGGGAAGGAGTTAGGAATGCTGAAGGGGAAAGTGGGGTTGAGAGAAGGTTAAAAAGATTTATTTATTTTTTTTTACATTTTAAGTTAGAAGTGACAGCATAATTAAATGGGAAGGACTGAGTCAAGATGGAAAGATTCAAGATAAAGGAAAGATTACAATAGCAAAATGATGCAGAAGGAGAGAAGGGTTGAAATCCAGAGAAGACAAAGGGATTCATTCCTGTGACAAATATTTACGGAGCAGCTACTGCATGCCAAGAACTCTTTTAGGCACTGGGAATACAGTGGAGAGCAAACAAAATCTCTGCCCTTATAAAACTTACCTTTTAGTGGAGAAGAAAGACAATATATAAACCAAGTATGTATATATGATGTAATGCGAAGTGCTCTGAAGACAAATAAAGCAGGATGAGGGGACAGAGAGGGACTGGGGATACTATTTTAGCCAAGTGGACCTCCAAGGTTTCTGGCCTGAGCAAATGAAGACACTTTTTGTAAGGAACTGCCATGGGCTGTTAATCATCCCATTAGTATAACCTCCCTCTGAGAGAAAAACAATGACAAGGGGAAGAGAGAGTAGAAGTGGATTCTGTATTCACTTGAGAATACAGAATTAGGTAAAGACAGGAATGAACAGGAAAGGGAAAACATGTAGCTAGGACTGTGTGCCCAACTCAGGTTTTGAACACCTAGATGATTCATGACCCTGCAGAGCATGTAGGCCCCCATTTGGGAACCCTTAGCATACCCTGTATTTTATTTTCTTTAGTAATTATCACAAGTATATAGCTATTTTTTGTACCACAAGTATAATTAAATCTTCAACTGTAATTCTTTCTCCTCTGACAGACTATAAATTCCATGAGGAAAGAAAAGTTGTCTTGTTCAGGTCTGTATCCCCTGGTCTAGGACACTGCAGATTCTTAACACCGAGTGAATGAGCATTTTAAGCTTTGGAAGGAAACAGACAATGATATCAGGCTATTTTAATAAAAAACATGCAGTCATTTTTGTTGAGAAATATATATGACACCTACAGTTCCTAAATCAACTATAAATACATTTTTTTCCCCTTCTGGATAATATCTATGGATGGTAAAAGTATTTCTAAGTGCTGGATGTGATTATAACTGAATTTTATCAGCTATGCATAAAATGTAACCTGGAATTAACTCTGACCTTGTCCCCATCACCTTACTGTATCCCTTATCTTAGAAAAAAGTCAATCGTTGATTTTTTTTTTTTTTTTCTTTGCGGTAGCGGGCGGCCCCTCCCGTTGCGGAGCACAGGCTCCAGACGCACAGGCTCAGCGGCCATGGATCACGGGCCTAGCCGCTCCGCGGCATGTGGGATCCTCCCGGACCGGGGCACGAACCCGTGTCCCCTGCATCGGCAGGCAGACTCTCAACCACTGCGCCACCAGGGAAGTCCCAATCGTTGATTTTTAATTCTACTTTTCCTAGATGGTTCACAGGGTTATCATTATGAATAGTCATTGCACACAGTGAAGTCTTCAGCAGTGAATGAGATACATTAGATGGTTTAACTAGCTCGTTATGCTTTTAAGCTCTTAAATCTGCTTTAGATAGCTTTTCTGTCTCCCCTCCTTCAATGCGGTATCACTTTTTGCTGCTGGGAGTATATCTGCTTCTAAAAGTTACCCACTCCTTTTATAAAGTGCTGCTTCTAAATAACAGCAAGCTGGAAAACCAATCTCCTAGACAAGGTCTTAGTAAACAGTGCTGCCTGTAGGCCTGGGGTAATCTGTCTGCTTTAAGACATGGACTTCGGCTTCATGTAAGATTCTATGATATCTACAGCTGACTAGTATGAAAATAATGCATAGATACCTATCAAAAAGAAATGTCAGGCTCTATGATGTCAAGTCCCTGCAAAGGCAGTTAAATGATTCTAAAATTCAATTCGTGGGGCTCATCAGTTGACCATTTATCAACTCCTACATGAATTAGCAAGAAACATGAAATATATATGACCTCACTTGCACTGAGTAGTTGCAGGAACATTTAACAGAAGCTCAGAAGAAGTTATAATAAAGAAGTCAATCAATAAATCAATACAACACTTTCCATCAACCCAGCCAAAGGAAATTATTTTGATGAAGAACATTTTTAAGGGAACAAAGTAAACTTAGGACAACACACAAGGTAGTGGTCATCTTGATGCTATTGTGTACCGTTTTTCAGCAAACCAAAGCTCATTTTGTCTCGGATGCATCAGCACATACCTTTGAACAAGTGGCAAAGGAAGGAAATTGAGGGTGGAAGTCATGTCCAGTCCACAGTCCAGCATAATGGTGGTTGATTTGAATTTGAGCACATTGCATGGTAAGGTTGGGTGCCCTGACAGGCAATACTGAAAAACAAACAAACAAACAAATCACTTTTGTCAATAATCAGTTACAGAAAAAGCCTAAAAAATAAAGTGAATTAAATAAAGCTGATCATCTTCTCTCATTAGAGCACTGTGTAAATTCAGCTAACTTTCTATATGGCTTCCTCCCTTTACAGTGCTGGATACCCTTCCCCTAGCACTCAGCATCCTCAAAAATCTCAGATCATACCCAGTTCTTCGCAGGGTACCAACTTACATCTCAGGCAAGTAGAGTTTTGGAGGGGCCAAGGTTATTCTAAACAGAAGGTTTCCTGGCTGTAGTTTTCTGCTCCACTCTCAAATGACACTTGCAAATTCTCACTATCCTGTCAGACCTAAGTACTGTGTAAAGTCAATAAAATTCTAAGCTGGAACCTCAAACTGTGCTACAGGTTAGGTTTGCTCCTCTGTAAATAAGTCGGGTGACTTTCCTCCAAGAGGAAATGCTTGGGAAGGGTTAACAAACAAGCATCAGTAAGGCGGTGATGGCTCAGCCTTGTCAGAAGAAATGACTCCAAAGGACAAGTGACTTCCCTGACATGCAGACACTAGGCAGGAGTGAGGGACACCCATTCCCAACCAATCAAGAGCCTCTTGCCTGTGGCCGCAGTCCTCAGAAGTCAAAGGGGCACAAGCCACAAAGGCGTATTCAAAGGGGAGTGATGAAGCAAACCAGCACACTGACCTCAAACATCCCTCAGGTCCTCCTCAATGGAGTGGGGATGACAGATACGCCACACTGAAAATTATTTACATGGGATGGACCCTGTGTCACCTTTCATAATTCGACTGCTGTTCTGAAGACAATGAATGAAAGAAGAGAGAAAAGACGTTTTCTCCCACTTCTCTCTTCTTCATTCCGTAGAAGCCTCCCTTGAACAACAAAGCCCAGAAGATGGAGGGGTCAATGGTTCCCATCTCCTGACAGACACATTCTTTCGGATTTAAGCACAAGTCAGGGTAGCGCGACATCAGTGCTTGCCCCCACACGGCCACCGCAGCGCACGCCAAGTCTTCGTTGCTCGTTGGTTCTGTCACTCGATAAATTTCCTAGTTTTCTCCAGAAGACATTACAGGAACTGATGAGTTTTTAAAACTGCAGGTTCTAAAAGGTCAGGAGCCAAGAAATTGTGAGTATTTTGCAACCTTCTTTTTTGGCCGCACTGCATGGCTTGTGGGATTTTAGTTCCCCGAGCAGGGATTGAACTCATAGCCCCTCACTGGAAGCACAGAGCCCTACCCACTGGACTGCCAGGGAAGTCCCTTGCGAGCTTCTTTATTCCAAGTTTGTGAAAGATAATTATATTTCCCAATCCATAATTCACAACTCATGGCCTGAAAGGGTACATGGTTACTTACAATGAAAACAGTAACAAAAAAAATACTAAAAAGTCCAGGAAGCATGATTTGGGTAATTATTCTTTACCTAAGTTCATTCTTTGATAGGTATCAGAACTACGGGAAAAATTTTCCTACTAATCAAAGCAGAGCTATTCCTATCCCACCCTTCTCCATCTGGTTCCCTATTGCTAGCTTGGTCTTTATCCCTATCTAAGAATTACGTATTTGTTAAAGAAAAACTACCTCAAAATGAACACAAAGCACCCTGTTAAACCTGCCCCAAACATGACAGAGGACTTTCCTATATTTCCCCTTTATAAAGAAAAAAATCAGATACTCAGAAAAACCTAAAAAGAAAATAAATGAAATGTATATAATGGTTATTTCTGGGTTTAAAGATTATGGTGTAATTTTCTCCTTTCAGTTTTCTGCATTTTCCAAACATTTGACAATGAGCATTTACCATACTTTTATAATCAGAAAAAAAAATATTAAAACAAAACTGAAAATTTATCCAGTCACACTGAAAGACAAAATCTTTTTTATCTTCATCTTTAAATCATGGATAACAAGTTGCAGCAGAAGACAGAAGATGGACATGTAAAAGCTTCTGCTCAAAAGATTTCAGGCAAAGGAAGTTAGCCAACAGACTTTACATTTGCTCTTGTCGTCCAAGGATAAAGAAAGGTGAGGAACACTTTATAAGGGCCATAACTGAATGGGAGAAACATTTTCAGAGCATCTACTGAAAGAGTGCCAGACCTTGATCTCACTAGCTCCAATTTTATGGATCAGGAAATTGAGTTTTACACAGTTTGAAGGGCTTGTCTGAGAAGAGAGAGCCAAAGACACACAGCAAGGTCTCTTGACTCCATAGATCCCACTTGTGCTTCCCAAAGTGCACTGCTCACTTTGTGGGTCAACTCAGTCTGCTGAGACACAGAGTAACTGTCACCAGTAAATGAGGCACCTGGCAAGGTTCCCGAAGTTTCCCTGGCTCCAGTGGTACTCTTTGCACGTTTCTAATATGCTGCCTACAGTCACCAAGCAGATTATAATCTAGCGAGAGGTAGGGACTAATACACAAAAACATTAAGTAATCGTGTGATTTTAATTTTGCAATTAGAAATAAATGACAGAAAATTTGAAAAATACCAGAAAGAAAAATATTACCCACAGCATTTCTACAGTCCCTGTCTTTTTTCATATTTGTAAAAGCTATAATTTTGGTGCACCTATTGCTCTGTATGCTGCTTTTAAGATTCATGGCTGTGTTTTGTCTATGTTGCATATCACTTCATTTTATTGGCTGCCTAAGTAAATATACCATCACTTGTTTAATTATTCTCTTACTGTTGAACATTTAGGGCTGCTTTCAGTTGCTTTATTACAAACATGGCTGTGGTGATAACTTCAGTGCTCAAGGCTTTTTCCATATTGGACTGTTTCTTCAGAGGATTCCCAGAAGTGGCATTAACTAGGTCAAAAAATATGAGCATTTTATGGCTTTTGAAATATGCTGCCAAAATGCTTTCCAAAAAAGGCTGTGCCTATTTACAATGTCATCAGGAATATAGCAGAAGATCTGTTTCACTGCTTATTCCCATCAGCATTCTGGTCAAAACCATCTAGAATCTACACCAAAATGCCTCTATAATGTTAGTACATGTTAGTAGCAGCTATCTAGGAGCAATTAAATGGCCCTAAACAGGAAATCAACTACTTGATAAATGAATTAATTTTGAGAGGCAGTTTGAAGCAATGATTTAAAGCAGGGAGTTTGAAGTAAGACTGCCTAGGCTCAAATCTTGGTTGTGCTCACTACCGTGTGATTTGGGGAAAGTTACTTAACTTCGCCAAGATTGAGCTTCCTAATCTGCAGGATGCAGTAACAGAAGCTACCCTCCTAAAGTTGTGAGGACTAAATGAATAGATACAGAACCTGACACACAGTATGTGCTCATGGTTGCTATAGTTATAAAATCATTAAGAGGCTGAAGAGGTCACCTAAATATTTTTTTTGGGGGGGCACCTAAGTTTACAGGATTTTAGAGAAGAAATTCTATTCTGTGTGGCATTCACTAATGTTTTAGACATCTGTGTATCCCATAAGACTAGGTAAAGGGAATGAATAATTTTACAAATATTTTTCTATTGCTAGTTTTCCCTCCAGGAAGATACAGTTACTACTGAGTACAGAAGCGAATATTGTAGCCAACATAAGGTTTTACACTTTTTATTTTTTCTAGCTTAATAAGCACACAGCAGTGCTTTCATGTTAATTTTATTTCTACTTAATAACAAAGCAGATTTTTCTGTGTAATAATTTATTATCTATATTTCCTCATGTGCCTGCTGATTTCTTTTTACCACTGAATAAATCTGGTTTCAGAACTTATATATGCTTAACATATATAAGCATTGTTTATATTTTTTGGGTAAAAATTTTTATCAGTTATACTTAGTACATATATTTCTCATTCTCTTACTTTCATTTAAAAAAGTTTTATTATGGAAAATTTCAAACATACAGGTAAGCAAAATTAGTACAGTAAACTCCCATTACTCAGATTTAACAACTATCCATATTCTGCCTTTCTCTTTGTTGCTTTCCTTTTTTTAAAAAAATGTATTTATTTATTTATTTATTTATGGCTGTGTTGGGTCTTCGTTTCTGTGCATGGGCTTTCTCTAGTTGAGGCAAGCGGGGGCCACTCTTCATCGTGGTACGCAGGCCTCTCACTATCGCAGCCTCTGTTGTTGCGGAGCACAGGCTCCAGATGCGCAGGCTTAGTAACTGTGGCTCACGGGCCCAGTTGCTCCACGGCATGTGGGGATCTTCCCAGACCAGGGCTTGAACCTGTGTCCCCTGCATTGGCAGGCAGATTCTGAACCACTGCGCCACTAGGGAAGCCCTGTTGCTTTCCTTTTGATACTGACACACTTCTGAGGAATAGCTATTATGTTGACAAACCAATCTGATCTCTGAAAATACTGTTTTCATAAATAGTCCTAAAATGATCTCTTACGCACAACTGGGACAAAAACATGAGTCCATTTTCCTAAATGTCCTTGCAGAATTCATTAAAGGCAACTCCTTTCGCCTTTAACTTATCCTTGGTTTTCAACACCTGAGTCCTTTAGTAGTTTGAATATATTTCTGAAATTTCTATTCTGTCCACTGGTTTTTTGTTTTTCGTTTTCACCTCAATGCTGTAAAGTTTTTACTTTGTAGTATTTGAAAATAAGCTAGAATGACTAGACTTCAATTCTAAAAAAAAGTTTTTCTAAGGATGTAAATGGAAGCTACATTTAATCTATATATTTAGTGAATGCTGCCATTTTTACTATACAATAACATTTCTCTGAGTCAGGTGCAATGCACTGCTTTCTCTTTTATTAATTTTATTTTTTCTTCCTTTACAGTTTAAAATGTTGTATTCCTTTAGCTCATAACCAACAAGTCAATTATCATTAACATAAATATGTTTGTTTTTCAATTTCTATTTAATTTCTGCTGAGTTTTATTGTTCTACTTCAAGTTTTATCTGTTATACTTCTTAAATTTCTGCAGTTAGATGTGTAGCTGATTAAAATATGCATTCAGGTTACAGATAGCCCTGTAAGTGATGCTCTGGATA